GATTTTGTCAAAGCTAGGTCCTACTCACATGCATCGTCCCTGCGATTTTCTCATCTGTTTTATAAATGCTGGAAACACACTCAGCAGGAAACCTGGTGATAATCCCACATGGCTAGAATTCTGGCTGGACAGCAGCAATGAGATGGTGAACAGGCAGATGCCCAAACCCCAGGCAGGCTTCTCTGCACCCTAGCTCAACGGCTTCAGAATAGCACTGACTTCAAAGAATTCTCTTCCTGCAGGCTTAATGAGCCCCCCTGGGAAGATCCCAATGTGAATGGGAATCCTGACTTGACATAAATGGGAAAGATTATGTGTCATCAGGGTTGATTTGATTCTTAATGGGGTGTTAATTTATTTTGCTGTGATTTCACACATCTCATTTGGTCACAATACCATGTTATGTGAATCCTTGAGATATTGCTACACACAGGTACATCCTCTACACACAAAGTCGGTGAAGAATGAGAAAGCTGTTCATTTTTTGAAAAGGGTATCTACACTTTAATTCAAAGAGTTAATGGCCAGATGTTCCATTTCCCCACCATTTGGATCCACAGTCTAGAGTGGAGGCACAGTTTGGCATGTCTTAAGACACATTTGGGCTCATGAGATTACAGAAAAATTTTGAAGGTAGGAGACTCCGGAAAGTCTTAGACCACAAAGCAAGTCACTCTACCTAGGGCTATATAAAATGGGCAAGTTGGACAGTTTGATTTCCCTTGGAGATACTACTTCATAAGTTTCATTTGATTAGCACACAGAAGTGTTTTCATACACATCTGAACTGAGCCCAAGACATAGAGAAGCAGACACACAAGAGGGAAATACAAAGTGCACTTCATAGTGAAAAGGAATAAGTTTCATCTGTCACTTATATTCATTTAGATCTTACAAAATAAGTTGGGTTTGCCTTTCAGAAGACAGTTTGATGATTTCATTAGGAAACAGATGTATACCATCCACTAAGGGAAGTAAAGCTGAGTTAATCCTAGCTGTTTGAGAAGGGATGTAGAGGACTTTAACACAGACCAACTCCAAATGAAATGCATTCCCTCCCCAGGAGGCCACAGATGCTGACACTTTACCAAATAGATGCATCCAGACCTGTGATTGGCTTTCCCAGGGCTCCTTTCTGATGCTGCACCCCAAGTCTGACATGCTCAGCAGCATCCCCTCGGTTGGGGCCTAGTGAGTGATGAAAGCATGGAACGGAGAGCGAGCAAACCACTTGTAATTAGCAAGATGGTTTATTACTAAGGGATCTAGGTTGCTTCAAGTGTTTGTAAGAACATCATGGCATGATAGTATAGTGGTTAAGGTCATCGTCTTGCACACACTGGGACCCCATATGGTCACCGGTTCTAGTCCCGGCGGCCCTGACTCCCATCCAGCTCCCTGCTTGTGGCCTGGGAAAGCAGTGGAGGACGGCCCAAAGCTTTGGGACCCTGCACCCCATGTGGGAGACCCAGAAGAAGCTCCTGGATCCTGGCCTCGAACCGGCATAGCATCGGCCGTTGCACTCACTTGGGGAGTGAATCATCGGACAGAAGATCTTCCTCTTCCTCTCTGTCTCTCCTCCTCTCTGTATATCTAACTTTCCAATAAATAAATATTTTTAAAAAATAAATAAATCTTCAAAAAAGAAATAGAAAGGAAAAAGAAAAAAATAGAGTATGGGAAGTGCCATAAGATGTGAGATATGGCTTCTACTCCATAAGAATTTATGGACCAGTGGAGTAAAAATCAATAGATTAACTGTCATACTTGCAGCATATACAAACTTCCTATGAGCGTTCATTGATTAAATCCTGGAAGCTGCAAAGCTGAAAGATCCACCTGGGAGTCTGTGGTTGAGAAGAGAATGAAGTCGTAAGCATAAAAAGGGATTAAAAGCAAATGCAGATACACCTATGTTGTGTGTGGGATCATTGCTGGCAACAGTACACTCCCTCCTTGTTTTAGAATATTAACAATGCCATTTGATAGCACCGGATGTGAGGAGTACTTCCTTATGCTGTTCAGGAGGATTAGTGTTGGTAAGACATACACTTGTAGGACAACAATGTTGGTGTTCTTTCTTCGCTTAGATGACTGCAGGTGACTCTGTCATTATTCAAATCATGCTATCTCCTTTTCCTTGCATTGACATTCTATTTTTTATCCCTTTAAATTACTTTGATATTCTTCTCCAAGATTTCTAATTCACCTTTCTTCATAGCTTTTCTTTTGCTGCCTGAATGCCAATTACCTAAACTGTGAAATAGGTGATAACATCCACAAACAAGTGAATGAGCTTTCCTGATTCCGGGGTTCCTTCCTGCATTAATCTTCATGGAAGTAGCAGTTTATAGGTTTGCATTTTTATCATAACCACTGATAAGAACTTGTTAATAATGCAGGCACTTAAATATCATTTGTATTGATTTTTAATTTGATAGGCTTAGAATGACACCGCAGCACTTGTATTTTTAAAACAGTGATTCCGTATGTCCTAACGTACACTAAATTTTTTTTCCAATAGCGTTTTATGAAAGGCAGTGTTCTTCACTCAGAAATGTTACTTAATTGAGTGAAGTGAGCTTTTAAATACTAGCTAGCAGAAAAAGCTTCCCAGTTGACATAGAGTGGTAACTTCAACAAGAGAGAAACTGAAATGGTGAGAATCATGCAGGCTGAAACAATGCTCTGAGCAAATTCAGAGATGACCAGGTCCACATGGAATATTTTTATATCTAATCAGAGAAAACTATCAGTTGACAATGGAGTTGGTTGGGTTCAAAACAGGAAAGTCAGCACGGTAAGCATAAAACAAACTGTGAACAAGTCTTTGAAATAAAAATGGTTAATAGTTCGCAAAGTGTGGTGGTGAGAATGCAGTTTTAATTAAAAAACAGGTGACCTAGTTTAATAGAGGAGTCTTACAGTGCAGATTTTGTGAACTGTTTCCAGGTGTTTATTATACATGACATTGTAAACATATGTATTCATGCTTTTATGTGTCTGGGTGATGACTCTATCTATATTCTAGTGAATTTCAAAATAAATAAGTGAATGGTTGACGCTTCAGTGACAGCGCAATGCCTGAAAGCTGCTACATGAGAACACTGAAAATGTGTCTGTTATCTCGCAAGGATCGTAGTCCTCGGAAAGCCAAAGCAGAGAACACAACTGCGAGCTGTGTAGCTCATTTTGGAGTGTTTAAAAATACCACATGTATTTCCATTGGAGCTTTTTCCAATCACTCATTTCATGTCTAACATCCTTTACACAAAAAGTGTGTTTCAGAAAAGGAGCAAATGCTGAGACCCACGGTTCTAGGGAGCAGAAAGGAAGTTCATGGAAACACATGGGCATTGAGCAGCACAATGTAAAAGCTAAACGGATACTAGGAGATCCATCCATCCACACCCCATACCTCCTCATTTCCAGACAGAAAATAAGAAATATATGTATACACACACACACACACATATATGAGCTATAGAATGAGCTACCAGTTCTTTCACACTTGTATCTCTAAAAGGATGCCACTACTTACCCTTACAGCTTTCTGTATTTTTATTTGAAACACTCTCCATTACAGTCACTCCTAATACTGATCTCTAAGCTGATTAACAGCCTGCTGTGATTGTTTCAATTTTCCAGCAACCAATTAAGTAGTTGTTCTAGACAGAACTGGCAACAAAAGGGTAAATGTAAATGAGAAACTCCAATCTTCTGGTTAAGGGAACAAAGTGAAAAAAGGATGAGGCAATGGATGGCAGTGAGGCAAGGTTGGCAATCTAGCTTCTCTTGGCAGGATACTGGGTCTCCTTAAATCCAAACCACAGCGGATAACCTGAGGAGTACCCAGTCTCTTCCATTAGTAACAAATAGGGGTAAATATGGCAGGGCATCTGTGTTTGCACCTGGAGAGGGGAGTCAGACAGCCCAGTCACTCAGTGCCAGGCACCTGATAGGTACACGCTGGCACCTAGATCCCATCCTCGGAGCGATGCAGCGTTACACCTGCATTTGCTCTTCAGCCAAAATGGACTCTCTTTGAGCTTTCTCAGCGCAGCATCAGGCATCGGACCCACCAAGCCGCCTCCTTCTCAGCCACCTCGTCCTTTCCGACGGAGATTTAAAAGCGTCCCCCTCCATCCCCGCCCCTCAACCAGACTCTGCAGCTAGCGCAAGAATTGCAGTGGTATTCCCCAAAGCAGAAAGCGAAAGGTGAGGGGCATACGGGGAGAAAACTACCCACTCTTATCCCTCCCCACTCACCCACGCGTCTGCTCCGGGCTCCCCCTCCTCCTGCCCCGGCGGGACACGGTTGGTGGTCAGGTGAGGTTACCTGGGCGCCCCGAGGAGCCCCCACAAGGCGCTGCAGCGCTTCCTGTCGAAGTCGTCCCACTCCCCGCGGGGCCCCAGGACTCCTGCCCCTCTCCCCCCCGCGCGCGTCCTCGGCCCCTCTGGCTCCGCCGCGCAGCGACAGCCGCACGCCGCGCTCGGCTCCCCTCCGCCGACCTGGCGTGACGCAGGCGGAGACTACTTAAGGGCGGATTAGAGGCGGCGGCCGCGGATTCCCCAGCCCTGCAGCCAGCTCGGCGCGCTCCGCCCCGGCCTCACAGCGCAGCGCGGGAGTGCCAGGTGCGGGCTCCAGTGGCAGGTGCGGGGGCCGGTGCCGGGACCCTTCCCCAGTCCCTAGCCTCTGGCGGACAGAGGTGTCCAGAGATCTGACTCGGGCGGGCGCCAGCTCGCGGACCTGCAGGCTGCCAGCCCCGCCCCGCCCCTCGCCCGGGCCACTGCGGGACCCGGACCCGACCCTCAGACGGTGCGGCAGGTTCGTGCCCACTCTCCGAATCGCGCCAACTGCCCAATCAGTAGGGGCGCACTTGGATTTCCTTCCCCATTTCCCTCTATTAAGTACAATAAAAGGGAGGGGGATTGTGAATATACATATTTTTAATTTGTTTGCTTTTTAACTTGGGAAGGCGGGGGCAAGTCGTTCCCAGCCGGGGGGTGCGGCCCGGGGAGGGGCCAGGAGCAACGGGAACGTGCCCGGTGCTGCCCAGTCTTTGTCTGCTGCCTCCGGATGCACAGCGATGGGGGAATGGACCATCTTGGAGAGGCTGCTGGAAGCCGCGGTGCAGCAGCACTCCACTATGATCGGGAGGTAAGGGCGCCAAACCAGCCGTCCGCGGGCCCGTCGGGTGGCCCCCCGGGAATCCCTTCTCAGATAAGACGGAGCCCCCCCAAACCTCCAGGCCATCCTCTGCCTCTTCTCCGTCGTTATGGGTCCATGCATTTGTGTTCCTGGTGTTGAGGGATTACCCAATGCCCGGTGATTCCACCCTCGTCCTGCTACTGCCGACTAGCTCCCCCAAGCCCTTCCCTGCAAAGCACCCTGGGGGCATGTGGTTCACTCTTCCCTCCTCAGAAAAGGAATTGTTAGCTCAATCTTGGTTCCCCCCCCCCCCACGCTCCAGAGTCAGAGCCAATCTCCATCCGGTTCTCTTAATAGCATCTACAAAGAAGGCAGGATTGTATTTGGACAGAGGAGGGCTAATAGGGAGACGGATTTGGCTCTTCAGATCATGTGTATATTTTCTCGAAAAAATAGTTATTAAACAAGACTGTTTTTGGTTGTTAGACTGTAGTGTCAGACATTTACACATCCAGTTGACATTTTTGTGCCTAGATCTCTATTTCCATACATATATAATGCATATATATGAACGTATTTTCATAGCTGTTTGTACATAGCTCTAAGTTCAATATTCCTATTGAGAATAAGCTAAATATGCACGTAGAGTAGTTACTTACACAGTGCGTAGTCATTGAAACACACACTAGCTGTTCAGATATTCAGTTTGCATTTGTCATACCCAGAGCAAGAATGTATTTGGCATCTCTGTACATCCCATATATAAGGGTGACTTCTGCATGTTACAATAGATCTTGTCCAGAGTGTGGTGATGGTGAGTGGTGATATCTGGGATCCCCATCCCAGTCCACAAGCACCTAGTGTAGGAAGAAGAGACAAAAATGTTTTCTGACTCCCAGTTCAGTACCACACATAGATGGACAGTTCCCTGGTCAAAGGGCTGATAAACATCAGAACAGCAAAAGGCAGGAGCAGGGGTTTCCTGCAGTGATGCAGCTGTGAGAACCTCTCTCCCTCCCTCTTCCCCTTCTCAGGATCCTGTTGACTGTGGTGGTGATCTTCCGGATTCTCATTGTGGCCATTGTGGGGGAGACGGTGTACGATGATGAGCAGACCATGTTTGTGTGCAACACCTTGCAGCCCGGCTGTAACCAGGCCTGCTATGACCGCGCCTTTCCCATCTCCCACATACGTTACTGGGTCTTCCAGATCATAATGGTGTGTACCCCCAGTCTCTGCTTCATCACTTACTCTGTGCACCAATCTGCCAAACAGCGAGAACGCCGCTACTCTACTGTCTTCCTAGCTCTGGACAGAGACCCTCCAGAGTCCATCGGGGGTCCTGGAGGAGCTGGAGGTGGGGGAAGTGGTGGGGGAAAACGAGAAGATAAGAAGTTGCAAAATGCCATTGTCAATGGGGTGCTGCAAAACACAGAGAATCCCAGCAAGGAGACAGAGCCAGATTGTTTAGAGGTTAAAGAGTTGACTCCACACCCATCAGGGATGCGCACTGCAGCAAGATCCAAGCTTCGAAGGCAGGAAGGCATCTCCCGTTTCTACATTATCCAAGTGGTGTTCCGAAATGCCCTGGAGATTGGGTTTCTGGTGGGTCAATACTTTCTCTATGGCTTCAGTGTCCCAGGCTTGTACGAGTGTAACCGCTACCCCTGCATCAAGGAGGTGGAATGCTATGTGTCCCGGCCCACTGAGAAGACCGTCTTTCTAGTGTTCATGTTTGCTGTGAGTGGCATCTGTGTTGTGCTCAATTTGGCTGAACTCAACCACCTGGGATGGCGCAAAATCAAGCTGGCTGTGCGAGGGGCTCAGGCCAAGAGGAAGTCAGTCTATGAGATCCGTAACAAAGACCTGCCCCGGGTCAGTGTTCCCAATTTTGGTAGGACTCAGTCCAGTGACTCTGCTTATGTGTGAGGGGTGAAGGCCTGCAGCATGGCATGTAGCCTTGGAGCAGATGACTGCTCAAAGGTGGCTCTATCTGCCCTCTTGGATGTGACTCTCAACAAGATGTAGCATAACTAAGACTTGTTACCAGAAGATCTTGCAACAGTTGTACAGGAGAAACAGTAGAACTACTACCATGTGGGACAGCCCTATTGCCACAGAAACATTTGGGCATTGTTTGAAATGGATGAAGTGGACTTCTTTTGACCCTCTTCCTTTATGGGCCGTCTGGGCCGTCCTGACCTTGAAAACCATGAACTTGCACAGCCACCAAGTAGGCTTGAGCTCTGCTGAGCTCTGTATCCTAGTGAATGGTGGGAATCCAACTCTGCATTGATACAAAATGTGTGACCTGTCTCAACACTTATCCCTGTAGCCTGGGCTGTGGGACTGACCTCCTTGAGGATCCTGTATGTATCTCCCCATCAGCATGCCCCTTTTCCTCAACCCAGGACAGCATGCCAGCTTTTTATTATTATTATTATTTTTAATCTGGCCTTACATTAGACCTAATGTGGTTTATCTGCAAGCTAGAAGGAACTACATGGGGTGCTTTCTGGAGAGTGGTGATGGCAAAGGTTTGCATTTGAACCCCATATGACTGGTCCTTAGTCATTATGAAAACCTTAGGAATGTCTCAGTATTTCCAGTTTTCTAACTCAAACTGCACTGGTGCTGTTTAATAGGGTGGGGATGGGTGGGAGGGAGGGAATTACAATATGCAACTTCTGTGAGATGGTTGTTACACTGTTTGGCATGTGGTTGTAAGCTTCAGGATAACTCTGCCTTCAAGCTTGTGGACTTAAAAAAAATATTTTGGGGGGTTAGTATCGAGGTTGTCTGCCTGAGCCACAGCATTTCTAACTGGTTTATTTCACTCTTTTTTTTTAATATGGTTATGTTGTGCAACACAGCTGCATGTTGTTTTGCCATGGTTTGAACTGACCTGTGTGCTCACACCAGAGACCTTAATCAGTCCATGTCAATCCTGATTCATTATTTGTAAGTTACACACACACACACACACACACACACTCTACTGGCCTAAAAAACCCAGATGTAAACACTATTGGCTAACATGTGTTTACAATATTTATATGAGACATATACCAAAGGTTCAAAAATGTATCACTTTGGACTGTGGATATGGTTCCTTCTCTTTGCTCTTATTTATTTAAGTGCCATACTGTACCTTCCAATTCCACTGTGTATTTAGTTAAAGCACTGGCCAAGAGTAACAGTTGGATAATGTGCTTTCATGAATCCCACTGTCTTCTTTAAATTATCATCATTTTTTATTTAGAAATGAACGTGTAATATACATCTCAAGATTTGTTTAAAATAAAGTTCTTGCCTTTTTTGTAAAATTGGATGTCTGCCCTTTACTGTTTTGACTGAGGTTCTATTTGTTTAAATAAATGCTCAAAAATATTACAGCAGCAGAACATTGCGGGTAGGAAGTGCGTGACAGTTGATAAATATTTGAGGTATGACCAATAAAATCCAACTATCCACTAAAGATGAATAGAGGCTAGTATGTTTCATGGATGGTTAGAGTGGAGTCATGATATATTCAAATAGTGGCTAACTCTAACTCATTTCAATTTTAGCTCAATTTTCTCTGCTTGTAAAAGTATATTTCTTGTAATACAAATGTTAACAGTATCCTATTGACTCATTCCAAGAGTTGATTTCTCCCTTTTTCCACTGTATTTTTCCTGCCATGAGTTGTTATGTTTGGCAGACATGCTATTTTCCTCCCTGACCTTCTCAAAGCCTGACGTTTAGCAGGATATTAATCCAGTAATCAAAGGAAGTCATCTAGATCAGTGCAACCCAATAGAACTTTATGAAATACTGAAAAGTTTTTCTGTGTTGTCCTGTTATGATAGAGACTACCCATATGTTACTGTTAGGCTCTTAAAATGCAGCAGTGAAAGTAAAGTACTGAATTTCTTACTCTTTTCAATTTGAACTAATTTAAATAACTCTGTATCTTTAGTTGCTGCCTGTTACACAAAAGGGTTCTAGACTTCTAATCAATCATTTCTTATTGGGCCCTTGATAAGCGGTTGATCCTTTACTTGCATAAGATTTTTTTAGTCATCCCTTTTAATATACTTTCACACTTTCTATTTACATGTGGTCCCCTTTTAGTTCAGCAGACTAATGTTCTTCTGCACTCCTGTAGTGGACATACTTTAATTTCAGTGGACACTCCGGTCAAACATTGTGCAGCAATGTGGAATTTCCTGGATAATTATTTTTAATATACAATCATTGCACTTTTTAAGCATGGAAGCACAGATGCCAATTTTAGGAGAAAAATGTTTATTTCCATGTATAGGCTTCCATCAGCAGTATAACTAAGCAGCTGAAGATAATTGTCCTTGAGAAAAGAAACAGATCCTCCTCTGTTTTGTGTTTGGTAAGCTAAAAGTGTTTGGAGACACCTCCCAGAGTTGGAGAAAGAGTGTTGCTTGAGAGCTCTTAGCATATGCTTGGGTGTGAAAGAAGTAGGAATCTGTGTGGAAAACAAGGTCTGTTGTATTTGTGCCTTGGCATAGAATTAGAACAGTAGTGTTTCCTGTAGAAATGCATCTGAGATCAGTGGGGCTCATTTATTTCATTTCTCTGATGTTTCCAAACACTCACAACTAGTAAGATTATTAATTCACTTGTCAGTTATGGAGTGGAAAACACACCCACGCTTAGAGTCATCCCTCACATTAGTGGCAGCCTTTGGTTCATTTGCTTTCTATCTAACAAAGAAAGTGTGCTGATGATCTTGATGGTTCACACAGCTAGGTGATGATCATGAGCTTAAACCACATTTTCTGAAGGGTTAGCATCTCTCTCTCTCTTTATGTATATGTATATATATATATTTAATTTGAAAGTCTCATGGTGAACTGAAGACCTTCTTGGTCTATGTGTGCATATATGTGTGCATGTGTTGTGTCGGTGCACCTATGTGTGTGTGTGTGTATGTGCACACACCCATGTACCTATGAATTGGTGACTGCATGAACTAGAGACTAGGTTAAAATACAAAATGTTACATTTTTTAAAAATGTTACATTTCAAGGTCTCTGACTCTCTTTAAAAATATTTTATTTATTTTTATTGCAAAGGCAGATATACAGAGAGGAAGATCTTTCATCTGTTGATTCATTCCCCATGCCATTGTAGCAGCCAGACCTGAGTCAATCCAAAGCCAGGAGCTTATTCCAGTCTCCCATGTGAGTGCAGGGTTCCAAGGCTTTGGGCCGTCCTGCACTGCTTTCCCAGAGCACAAGGAGGAAGCTGGATAAGAAGTGAGACTGCAGGGACAAAAACCGGCACCCACGTTGGATCCCGGCACGTGTCTCAATTGTTGCCAGAGAGATGGGTGTCTCTATCTGTCTTCCATAAGGCAATGGTCTCAAAGACTCAGAGTGTGTGACTACTAAACACATCTGACAAAGACACAAAGGCAAGCCTTTTAGTATATAGTTAAGGAAACCAAAAGATCTCAAGTTAAGAAGGTAGATTTCTTGGAAGATGGTATAGACATTTGTCTTGGAGGACTGGAATACTTAGGAAGCAATATTTAGATTGGTTTCACTTTATTCACATTTTAAAATGTGCATTAATCTGCTGAGGCTGCCAAAAATTATCACGGACTGTGTGATTCAAGCCATGCAAACTTATATTCGCACAGTTTTGGAGCCTGGAAGACCAACATCAAAGGACTGGTGGGTTTGGCTTCTTCTGAGATGTCTCCTGTTGCTTGCAAATGCTTGGTTGCACCTGATCTTAGCCAAAAGGTGGAGAAGTGATTGCAAATGGCTGTATTCTCATACCACCTTCTCTTGGTCTTTCCTTTGCTCATGTGCATCCCTGGTATTGCTTGGTGGGTCTGAAGTTCCTCTTTTTGTGGACACCACTCTGAGCTAGGGCCTTATCCTAAATTCTCTACCCTATTTTAATGTCATCACCTTTTAAAAGGTGCTGCCGGCAAACACAGTTCAAACACCATGAAGGCAAGTGGTGGGAAATTTAGTGTATGAACTAGGAGAGAAGGGCACAACCCAGTCCATAACTCATACATAGAAAAGCAGTGTCAGTGGACAGCCTAGCGGCTAAAGTCTTCATCTTGAACACGCCAGGATCTCATATGGCTGCTGGTTCTAATCCCAGCAGTCCCACTTCCCATCCAGCTCCCTGCTTGTGGCCTAGGGAGGACAGCCCAAAGCCTTGGGGGCCTGCACCCACATGGAAGACCTGGAAGAGGCTCCTGGCTCCTGACTTCGGATAGGCTCAGTTCCAGCCATTGCGGCCGTTTAGAGAATGAATCATCGGGTGGAAAATCTTCCTCTCTATCTCTCCTACTCTCTGTATATCTGCCTTTCCAATAAAAATAAATAAATCTTTTTTTTTTTTAAAAAAGCAGTGTCTTCAATAGGAAGGCATCAGTATTTTAACTTCCGTATTCCTAAGGTTGAGAATGACAAATTTAGAAACATTAGCATAAGAATCAGGGAAAGAAAAGAGCAAACTGTCAAGAGAGTGAGTATTGCTGATTTAAATCATATTGAAAGATTTATATGGGAAGATTAACAGCAACTCTCAGAGCTTTAGGAGTGGAAGTAGCTGTCATGGATGAGTTCTTCAAGCAGCAAGAAGGGGTGACCTAAGACAAAAACTGTAGCAGGGAGGGAAGGAGGAATCTAGGATAAAAGTTGAGAACAACCAGTTAGCATGGGAAGGCTAGAAAGTGGTGTCATAGGGGCTGACATGTGGCACAGTGGGTTGAACTACTATCTGCAAAGCTGGCATCCCATTTGAGTGCTAGCTCAAATTCTGGTTGCTCCACTTCTGCTTATGCGTGGAAGACAACCCAAGTGATTCAACCTCTGCCACCAGGATGGAGACTGGAGTTCTATGCTCCTGGTTTCAGCTCCAGCTATCCTGGCCACTTGAGGAGTAAACCAGAAGATGGAAGTTTCTCT